TCTTATCTTTTGGAATTTTTGTGAGAATAAAATGAACAAAAAATGAAATGCACTTCAAGTAACACCTGACACACAATGAATACTAAATAATCATTCCCTAAAAGAAAATCTCATTCTCAACTATTTAAATTTACATGCATACATTCATACATGGATGTGCTCACTCACAGATAAACACATTTACCTTGGTTGGTTGAGGCTGAATAAGAACATGCAGTATTTAACTCAGTACTGACTTTGGCTAAGTTAGGAACGTTAGTAGTGAATTATTCATAAAATGGACTTTAATCATGTAAATTTTTTCCCTGTTATAGGGTTGATGAATATTATATTGAAGACACACCAATTTACGGTAATTTAGATAACATGATCCCAGGTAAGTTTTATTCTTTCATAACCTATCAATAAGTAGACCCACATAATTCTACAAAGAATTTGACAAAACTCACTTTTCAAACACAATCACATTTAAAAAATCCTTGGAGTAACGATAAATTCAAATATATTTAGTATATCATTTAGGATATGCTTCCAATGGTGTATATTATAAACTGCATTGATATTAAGAGTAAATCATCATCCTACCTTTCTAGATTCTCTTTCTTTCACTCTAGTAGTTATGAGAATACAGGAAGATCCTATTACCATGCATTTTGACACACAGAGAATTCATGAAATAAAGTTATTTCTAGAAAAGAAAATGATTCACAGAAACAGTGCTTTGTGCTCTATAAACAAAAGCAAATCTGCTGTAAATAATATGGAACAATAAATACTTCCTCTGGATTCCTGGGTTCTAACTGGTTCTTTTAAAATAGAGGACTTGGGGCTGGATGGATGGTAGATAAGGAAATAACAGTTAAATCATCACTAGGTGATTTACACATTTTTGTTCTTATATAAAAAAAGTGCTCTTCAGTTACCAGCATCCCTTATTCCTTGAATAACCACCTAAAAAACAAAGCACCCTTAATTCCTTGAAATAGAAAGCCTTGGTCTAGTCTCAGAACTAGTGAGAAAAGCTACTGCCCTTTCCCTATCAATCTCCACTCAATTCAAGAGAGAAGACTCTGGGGTTATAACTCCTGTTCATCTCTAAGGACCAAACACAGAGATTTCCTGTAATGTACTAGATGTAGCTGAATATCTATATTCAAAACAATATATAATCCTCCCAAAATCAGAAATGTGAGGTTTTTATCAGATCCAAGAATTCTCTTAATTATATCTTTAATTGCAAAGTGTCCTCTAAGCACTGAATTCTAAGGAATCAGAAACTATTTCTCAGAAATACATTTTTAAAAATAATTTGCCCTCTTGTCTCCCTTTGCAGAATTGTTGTGCCCACTAGTAATATTTGAGAATTTAAATTCTCATGTATTCTACTGGCCATACCTGTAATTTCCATACACAAGTGAGCTCAGATGTCATTTCCCCAGAATCTGAGTTAAGTGTGTACTGGACTGGGTTTATGATCTGCTATTTAACCACAGGTGATTCTGATGCAGATTTTTTTATCGACTATGTTTTGAGAACCCTGGACTATTTGTCTGTGTTGCTTTTTCAGAAAGGGTTGAAAGATTATTAGGTATCTTTTACCATAGTAATGTATCTTTTTGCTCTGAGGGCAAATTGGTACAGTCTATATATTTTTTTAGGTAACTGTGCATCCTAAGTGGGGGTATCTAGTGACATATTTGGAAGAAGAAAGATATGGATTGATTAAAAAAACTCATTCTCATAGGATGAAATAAGTACAAGTCTGCTGGCTTTTAGACACTGAATAAAAGTACCAAATATATAGGAACAGCATTGTACAGACTTGGACTTTTAGGTTGTGCCTGTGCTAACTTGTCACTGACTATTGAGATAAAAATCTTAATGTAAGGCTTCTTTTCAAAATCAGAATGTTTGAGTCATGACTATGAATAAAAATTCTTACTTGTAGAATTATAAAATTGTAATTACTAATATATTATATATATATATATGAACTTGTACTTTATGCTACCATGTATCATTTGCAATTATATCTAAGTAACAAGGAATACAGGTAATCCTTTACACATGGGGTTTTTATAACATCTAAATGGTAGCTTAAGATGAGACTGTCATATCCTATAATGGTAAACATTTTTTATCCCAAGGACTTTTATTTGTCTCATTATTAATGCTGTGAAGCAAAAGACTTCACTGTCAGCCTGGCATGGTGGTGAACACCTGTCATCCCAGCAGCTTTGGAGGCTGAGGCAGGAGGATCACAAGTTTAAAGACAGTGTCATCAACTTGGCAAGGCCCTGAGCAACTTAGTGAGACCCAAAAAATAAAAAATAAAGACCCAAAAAATAAAAAATAAAGAAAGGTAGGGGATGTGGTTCAGTGGTTAAGCATCCCTGGGTTCAATCCCTAGTACAAATAAATAAATAAATAAATAAAAAGAAAAGAAAAGACTTCACTATCTGATCTGCAGGTAGCAGTTTGTGTTTCCTTAACCTCTTTGCAACTCCACCAAAAAGATTGTTAATAATTCTTTGGGGTTTCTTATTTACATTTGAATGTTTTTTTGGTCATGTATTTTTCCTTTCACTAGTGCATTATAGTTATACATAATAGTTGGGTTCATTTTGACAAAATCATACATGCATGAAATTTAATTTACTCCATTTCAGTCCCTGGTGCCCCCCTCCCCTTTCTCTCCCCTCCTCTGTTTCCCCTTTCTCGACTCTACTGGTTTTCCTTTCATTTATTTATTTATTTTTAATGGAAGCTTTATTGGTATACACAAAGGTAGAATTCACTGTGATATAATTATACATAATATAATTTTGTCAAATTCATTTTGCATTTTCTCCCCTTTCCTGTCCCTCCTTCCTCCCTTTCAATCTCCTTCTTCCACTTCACTGATTTTCCCTTTATCTTTATGATATCCGAAGTCCCCATCTTTTCCACTTACTTTATTCTTACCTCTGCATATGAGAGAAAACATTTGATCTTTGCTTTTCTGAGTCTGGTTTATTTCATTTAGCATGATGTTCTCCTGAATAGTGTGTTTTTATTTGTGCTCACATTCTTTATTTCTTTTCTGTTGTACATCACAATCTTTTCAACTCTCCAGAAGAAATGAATGAAAATTGCTATGAACAAATGAAAGCCCGACCAGAGAGACCTGTAAATAATATGCAAGAAGCTGCTCCATCTGCACACGTGAGTTTTGTTTTTCTGTACCAAAAACCAAGTTCAGTCTAGGTCAAAGCACATGGGCATGTTTCAAGAGCATAAGAGAATTGCATTCTGATATGTGCTGAAAGTAACCTGCTGGAAATTTTGTAGCATGAATCAAATATCAAGTTCTGGGACCTGAGCTCTACAGAGCAATCAGAGGCAAGTAAACAACATCTGAAGCACACTCAAAGAGTCAAACTTATGTATAGATACGAAGGCAAGATTTGAAGGTAAAAGCTGGATTATTCCTAAAGAATGCATTATGATTTTCCTTTCAAAATAAAAAGTTCATGTGCAGCACAAAGATAAATGTAAAAGCTGACATATACACAAACTCACAAGAATCAGACCTCAGAAATCCATGAGAAAGAGAGAGAATAACATAAGCTATAGTATAACTTAGCTGGATATGAAACAGCATACCTCTATTTTAAAAGGCAAATGAGTGTACATTGTAATATAATTCTCTGATTGTACTTTTTTGTGTGTGTGTGATGCCAGGGATTGAACCCAGGGCCTTGTGCATGGGAGGCAAGCACTCTACTAACTGAGCTACATCCTCAGCCCTCTGACTGTACTCTTTATGGCATGAAATTGTGAAATATACACACAGTTTGTGTGGACAGGCAGGACAGAAACTTAAGCAGAAAAAAAACTCAGGAAAAATATATAGTTTCTCCTTTTCCTGCCACAATCAGTTCAACCTCATCAAACATCACACTAACCCTTATTAAAAATCATTCAGAAGTCTTAGCTTTCTTGCTCCCAAAGTGCCATAAATTTCAGTTAAAATAGTTCTCTTCAATTATATAATTTCTCCTTACTACCTTGAAATAGCATAAAGGAAAGCATTTCCTAAGCAATTGTTAGGTGTCAGGCCTGATATCCTGTGCTTTATATGTACTATCTCTTTAGATGACTATGAGAAAAGCAGCATTATTATTCCCACTTTACCAATGCTTGTGAAGGTGGAAATCTTGTCCTGGGGCACCTAGGTACTAAGGATGGAAACAGAATCCAACCTATCCTGTCTAATGGAAAACATTCTGTCCCCCAAATGGGTCACATCTCAGAAACTTCCCATTAAGGTAGAATTTCTCTCTTTGTTATTTATGTGAATTCCCTAAGAAATCAGATTTCTTGAAATTTTTATTAAGAAATCAAGATGTGATGAGGTTGGGCAAAAATATAAAGGCTTCAAATCTATCATCTGATGTTCAGATAATTGTAAAATAATTTTTTAGATAAAATATGTATGATATTATATGATCTGCTAAATCCATGATAATAAGAGGACACCTCTCATAGAAGATTAAAATATAACCATCCCATCTGAAATTTAGGGATTTTGCAGGACTTTGGTTGTAAAGTACTGAGAATTATGAATAGAAGTTATGACACAGGAATTATATAAGTTAGCATTTTTTAGCTACATCTGGTTTTCACTCAAGTGGAAATTACACAAAGCCATATAACATTGTTAAGTGTGCTCTTTTATAAATTGCATATTTAAATATACCACTCACAAAATTAATCTCTTTTCTATCACATTCTTCTTACAAATTTAGTTTCACACATTAGAAGTAATATATTTATATTTGTTCAATTCCATTTTATTAGAAAAATCATGATCTACTCAGCTTGCCATTATCATGCTTTGTTACTTTGGTCAACCACAGAAGTATAAAAAGTCTTCAATTTTATATTGTAAAACTTGAGGGAGAATATTTCTTTGTTAGAAAAAAATGTAAATAATCTTCTTAGCCTTAGAAAGTGATGTATGTGGTTTAGAGATTATAATTCCAATACCTCAATCTCCAATAACTAGAAAGAGTTGATCAGGAAACCTAGTAATAAAATGAATCCACAGGAGTCCCATATCATATAAAATTTGAGGGATACAAGTGTGAGCTTTTTCCTTTTGCCTTCATGTCCATCTCTAACCAACCTCTGCTTTCCTTCCTATGTCAGGCACCCTCTCTCCTTGTCAAATTCAATACTCATACTTATGCTCTTGACCATTTCTCATTTTTCTTTCAGGATTCTATACCTGCAAGTACTTAACTCTTCTCCATCTTACATTTTAAAAATAAATTATCACTAATTATCTAGTAATATGCATAAATATTCTCAATATTTAAAATGAAAACAGAACAACAAAACTTGTTTTAACCAGTTTTCTCTCTAATTTCTCAACTGGCTCTTAACATCCTCTTTTGTTTCCATTTTTCTCTGTAGATACACATTCCTTTACCCCTGTCATCCATCCATACACTCAACTGAAACAGTACTTATGGAAGCCTCAAGTGATTATTAAATATATAATTTTTGGTTCTTTCTCAGGACTCACATTCTATGAACTCTACAGCATTTGATAAAGTTGACCAAGTGTTGACCAGACATGTATTATTTGAAATGCATTTATTATTTGAAATGTGAAATTATTAGAAGTGCAGAAGTCAAATTCAAACCACTTTGGCATAAAAGGAATACCATTGCTCTCTATGACTAAGAGATCTAAGGGTGTATTTTGGTTTTGAGATGATTAAATATGGAGGTGACCTCCATATCTCCTCATGAAATTACTAGCTTCATTATCTTCTCCTATCAACAGACTCTTTGACTGAGGGTGAGCAAGTAATTGGAAAGCTCAGATTTGTTTTTCTAAACCCTAGGAAAAAGACATCTTTCAATCCTTGAATGTATATATCAATCCGAAAAATTTTATCTAATTGGATCTGGTGAAATCACATGCCCATCCTGAGCTACCCTCTATAGCTAGTGAGATTGGAGGCAACTGATGATTGGTCCAGCCTTGGTTACATGCTTAGTCTTTTGCTGAACTCGCGGTATAGTGCTATAATTGACAGCCTGTCCAAAACTAGATATGAAGACTTTACCAAAAGAAGAGGGAGAAAATTATCAAAGAAAGAACAATAGAACAAAGTGACAGATAGACAAAAAAAAAGATAGGCATCCTTTTGTGTTACCTAATATCTTTCAAACTTCACTGATAGCTTTTCTGTCTGGGCAAAGACAAAGCAGATAACAGTACAAGGTATGGCAGGAAACTGTAAATTGTCCAGTTTTCCTGGAATACAGAATTTATATTGGGGCATAGTGGGAATAGAAATAGAAAACCTTAAAGGGAAGGATATGAATTTCAGACTTTAGTCTTTATGCTAAGATTTTGGGGGATGGGATGATAAAATGAAAGTTGTGCCTTACAAAGATACTTTAAACAAAGTACATGGGATTAATGGCAGAAGGGAAAGATTAAAGCAAGGATACCACTTAGGCAATTGTTGCAATTATTTTTTTAGAAATCATTTATTTTAAGAATAGAAAGTTTTACAAAGAAACCAGAGAGTTTGTAAGCAGAACCATCTCTTCTGCCTGACAGAAAATATAAGACATCCTACTCTTAGCATGAAGATGAGTACAAATAGGAAGATATCTACTCAAAAATTAACATTTGTTAATCCAAATGTTACTTCCTCACTCCTGCATCCACAAATAGATATAATTTTGGCCTATTCTTACAAGTAAACCCTGAATACAGAAATCTTTGGTTGGTTCAATGGCTATCCTTAAATTTTAGTCTGGAACTTCTAATAATTATGATATCATTGTACTTTTGGACAATAATTACAGCTTCCATACATATCATCTTTATCTACTGATCATAACTGATAACTGTGAGGCAGACATTACTACTTTTATTTTTAAGGCAAGAAAGCTGAGGTTTTAAAACTGACTTTTTAAAAGTTGCTTGAGGTTCCATGATTAGCATATTGTAGTGTTGAAATTCAATTCTAGGTTTTCTAACACCAAATTAAAGGTCCTGGCCTCAGCTTTGTTGCTTCTCCAAGTTGCTCTAGCATTTTATCCTTTTTGTCATAGTTCTGACCTAGCTCTAGGCCAGAGAGATTACTAGACTGTCTTACATCTCAGATGTGAATGGACATCTCCAAGGCCAACTTAAAATGAACTCAAAGGGGATTTGGGCACAGATACACAAGAAGGAAATAACAGGGAAGGATGGGAAATTTAATTCTTTGTCAACTATCAGTCACTTAAATGGATGTTGTTATCTTGATACTTATGAATCTTAAAGTGTAGGGGAAAAAATGGGGACTTTTGTGGGTACCATTAAATGACCTTGTAAGCACATGTAAAGTAGAACTTGCCATATGTTTAATCCCTTTCTACCATGATTATTCCCAACAAACTGAGGTATTTTTACTTGGTAAGAACAACGTAAGGGTAAGAATCACCTGAGGTTAAGGTGGAGACAGGGACTGGTGAGCGTCAATCTAAAACAGTTATGTCCACTTTAAGTGGACATAAGAAAGAAATAAAAATCCAAGTAAAACATTCATGGAAACATTCTTCAAAACTTGACAGCTTTTATAAAAAGTATGAGTGCATAAAATATCAAAGACAGTTTTCTTTTGGTGAATAGTTGTTAACTTTGCACCTTTTTCAACTCAAAAGCCTTGAGTTGGTTATTGATTTTTGTTCTGTTATCCTAATTGATGGGTTAGGTAGCTGAAGCCAAAACCAAGTTACTTGTTTTTCATAAGACATACAAATTTCAGAATTTATGAAAGTGAATGAACAGACTAACAATGAAGAATCAACGTACCGTTCTCTTTAGGTGCCTGCTGAAACACAGATGTGCTACGCCTCCCTTGATCACAGCTTCAAGGGGAAGCGCAGGAAGCCCAAGAAACAGAATGCTCACTTGTCAGAGGAGGAAAAAGACAAGCAATTGCATGCAGTGGGTGCCAGCATTTCTACGACCAACTTGGCAGAGAGTTTCTCACCAGAAAGCCAGGCAATAGAGGAAAACATTCATGATGACCCCATTAGACTGTTTGGTCTGATTCGTGCCAAGAGAGAACCTATAAACCAGGCAGATTATGATCCAAGTCAATGATAATGCTCCTGTTGGAGATGGTTTTGAAGAAAACAAGATCCCCACCTAGCACAGAATGACCTGTCAGAGTGACAGTCTGATCATTTGTTGATGGGATGGTGGTTTACGTCTTATTCAGAGACTATATCCATAAGCACTAAATGTAGTGCTATTAAAATTAGTGATATGTCCATGTACATAGAATATGTCAAAATGCACTCTACTGTCATGTATATCTAAAAAGAACAAATAGAGAAAAAATAAAATGCAAATGTAAAATAAAAATTAGTGATATGAATTCCCCTAAAAATTGCCTAAGTAGTAAAAGTACAACAAAATTCAGCTTGCAAATTAAGCCTGATAGCAAAGTCAAAACTTTACAAAAATACCAAAGAGAGAAATAAACAAAAAAGTTTTAAAGCATAAATGTGTTCTGAAACATGTTAAAAGAATCATAAAAACCAATAATTCAACAACAACAACAAGAACAAGAACAAAGTTTTCCTCATTCACCAAAGTGAAACACTCTGTAATTAGAAGAAATTTTTGATTGAAAGATGTAGGAGAAATTAAAATTCATATGTAAGAGAAGTGGGATAATCCTCTTAAGAGGTATTTTCCCAAATGGAATAGCTTCATTAGTTTAACAATTATTAGGAAATTAATGTATCTTTCTTGCAACAATAAACTAATACCAAAATAAATTTAGAAATTCCACTAACTAGAGAAAATTACTATGGAAAACTGTCTATATATCCTTCTAGATATTTTATCATTGAGCATACCCATGAAAACACATCACTTGTTTCTTTATTATTTTTCACTAAAAAAGAGGATTATTTTATACGTATATATATATTATTTAAACTCTCTTCATTTAAGGATATATTGTGGATTTATTCACACTGCTGTATTTAACTATATCAAAATATAGTTATATACCATAATTTTAATGTCTGCAGGTATTCTGTTGATGGCTAAATCAAATTTATTTAAATATTTTGAAGGATATTTAGCTTATTTTTTTTTCTTTTACAAATAACATTAGAATGAGAATCTTCTCTACATGTCTGGGTAATTGTCTAATTTCTTATTAGATTAAATGCTTGCAGAGGAATTGCTTTATTTAAAAGGTGTTCATATTGCAAATCTCTGTAAGATAGATTTATGAAGGGTGAAGAGTTGGATCAAACTATTCATGCCATTAAAATTCTGAAAAATACTCCTAAATTGTCCTCTATACAGTTATTTAAAAAACAAAAACCTCCTGTTATCTTTACCCATTGAGAAAAGGGAATTTAACAGGCTTATAATAAACATCTTCAATTTATCCCAGTCTACGTGCAAATGATGTGTCACTTTGGTATAGAACTGTAGAATAAGATACTTCAATTTCTTTCTTTCTGGCCAGTATTACAGATTTTATATTTTACATATTGTGATTTTCCCTCTAAATGATTGATTATCTTCTTAAAAAATTATATAATAATAAAAAGTGTTTTCATACTTATCCATGCTGTTTGAATTTCTGTAACTCTTCAGTCCTTTTTACAGTTTTGGGATTCTGTTTAGTATCAGTATCTTTTAGCTTTAAGGACTATTTATAGATTTATTTGAATTGTTGCATTATAATTATTCATAACATAATATTCATGATACCAGATTTGTCCATGCACATAGCATAATTTGATCAAATATATTTTTTGTACATCAGGTGATGAAGTACACCAATTTTTGTGTATCTGAAAAAGTATTTGTTTTCATTTTTGAAAGATATTTTCTCTGAGTTAAAAAAAAATTCATGTTTTGGCTGATGATATATTTTTTTTACTTATCTGCAGATGCTGCTCTGCTATCTTCTCACTTGCATTGCTTCTGATGAAAAATCTATGATCACACTTGTCTCTGCCCCTCTGTGTTTTATGTACTGTTTGCTGGTGTTTGTTTTAAGATTTTTTTATTACTGGTTCTAATTTGATTATAATATGCCTTGGTGGTTTTTTTTAATGTGCCTTACACAGGAATTTGGTGAGCATCTTCAAAATATGTGTTTACAATTTACATCAAACTTAGAAAAAAGTGACAGGTGGTTCATTAAATATTTTTTTCTGTAACCACCCCCTTCCTTTTCAGGTTAGTCCATTATTTGCAAATTATCCCATATTGCACTGATGTATTCATTTTATTTCAGTCTTTTTTCTAATTTTGGATGGCTTTTCTTTCTGTTTCTTCAAGTTCATGAATCTTTTCTTGTAAAATATCTAATCTGTGATAGTTTCGGATAAGATATATCTATGTAATTTCATATAATTGGTTTTTATCTTTGAAAACTCAGTTTGGGACTCACATCCTCACCTTTCAAGTCTTTTATAAAAAATACTTAATCTTTCTTCTAACTTCTTAAATACATGGGATAGTTATGATAACTGTTTTAATCTTTTTATATATAAATTCTATCATTTCTGTCAGTCTGAGTCAACTGATTTTCTATTATGAGTTGTATTTTTCTGCTTCCTTTAAATGTCATTTTTTATTAGGCAGAATATATTGTGAATTTTACTTTAGTGACAGCTAATTTTGCATTCTTATAAATATTTTTGAACTCTGTTTTGTAAAGTGTTGAATTAATTAGACACAAATGATCTTTCAGAGTCTTGCTTTCAAACTCTGACAGGACCAGAGCAGCTTGTAGACCTAGTTAAATCTACTACTGAGATGAGAACTTCTTTAGTACTTAGTACCAACCCCAACCCCAATGAATGAGAAGGTTTTCCATTTCAGCTGTTGAAAAACAGATGCTATTCCCAGCCTTCTATGAGTAATGGGCACTATTTCTCTCTCTCTCTCTCTCTCCCTCCCTCCCTCCCTCTCTCTCTCTCTCT